GACTTGCATCCCCCTTAGTCCAACTAAATAGAAGATAGATGCATGATATCGCAGAGACTTGAACCAGCACATGTCTAAAATCCAACGATCACACAAGATCAAACTCATCTGTGGTAGTTTTCACTTTGAACCACACTTGCCTTTGTCTTTGCACATTTATAACCCTGTGCTAATCCTGGTTTCTGCTAGAGCTCTAGGTATCTTTTCCACAAGACACCATATGAGACGGCCAAATCTCCACGTAGGCATAGGTGAGTTCTTTAGGCATGTTTCCTATTAAACATCCCGCATCCGAAATGCTTTGAACTCATTAAGGCTGAAGAGTCATCCTCTCTCATTATAGGATTATAGGTGAGTCCTTTAGGCGTGTTTTCTATCTAACACCCTGCATCCAAAATGTTTTGAACCCATTAAGACTTAACAGCTAACCCCTTTACATGATAGGATTATCGGTGAGTCCTTTAGGCATGTTACCTATCCAACATCCCGTATCCGAAATGCTTTGGACTCATTAAGGATTAACAGCTGTAGGTGTAAATTTTGATCTCCCGAAAATAGGGAACTTCGTTTGTATTTATAAGAATAGCTTATTACAAACTAATAATCAAACATTTACGACAGAAGCGGAGGGAATACCCTCCTTGTTTAACGTAGGGACTTTCGGTAGCTATAGGATGCTTCGTTCGATTCTCGTGCCGAGTTTCCTTCCCTTGGACGGTTCGACCGAGGTTGTTGGAGAGCTTCAGTACACAGTAGAAGCTCGGGTTGATGGAGTTCGATTCCTCTAATTCTCCGGCGATCAGGGCTCAGAACTAGAAGAGGATGCTGCAATGCAAGAATTATGCAGAGAGCTTGTCGTCGACCTGACTGGGGTCGAGAGCTAGTGGTTCGGTTAGCTGATTCAACTCTGAGCGAGTTGCTGAATGGCTAAAACAGCTGAACTTCTTCTTCGTCCTAGAAGAAAAGCTAGACCTCTTCTATTTGGTTGGAAGAAGTTCTGAACCTCTTCTCCGTGGCAGGAAGAGGTTCTTAAATAATGGAAAGACGGCGTGGTCACTCCTTGAATTATGGGATGTGACCATGTACTGTTGAGGGGTATCTTGCTGCTCACCCGTACTATGAGCGGTCATTCGAGGGGTTGTGCTTCACGTCATGTCGGAGTGGGAAGGCCCCTCCTCGTATGTGAGACAGCGGCTGCCCACTACTCAAGTGGATTTGGCTAGCCTACTGTGCGCCGGCGAATCCAGCTCTTGACTTGGACTGGTGAGATGAGTTGCATTTATGAGCGCGTAGGTTGATCTGGCATCTGTCAGATCACTCGTACTATGAGTGGTCGCTTGATGGGACCTGAGTACTATGCTCTTTCCTCTCAGGTCATGAGAGGTGAGAAAGCGGGTGCCCAGTACTCGAGTGGGCTTGGACAGCTTGCCGAATGCCGGCGGATCCAGCTCTTGACTCTGACGGGCGAGGTGAACTGCATTTATGAGGGTTCAGGTTGATTCGACACCTGTCCGATCACTCGTACTGTAGACGGCCACTCAACGGTCCTAGAACACCTTCTCTTTCGGGTCACGGGAAGTAGGGAAAGCCCGTTAGGTATGAATTTGGTTTTCGACTCGTGTGACGAATCTTGCTCAGAGCGAGCCTACACTTACGCGGCGATCTGGCTCATGAGGGCGAGCCTACCATACCGGCGAATCTAATTGGCTTCGACGCATGAAGGCGGATATGGGGCTTGTGTTGTTTGGGCCCGTGCTAGCAAATCCAATCCGTGGTTGCGGTTAGCCCTTCACCCAAGTGGGCGGTTTCAATTCGTGGGCGGATTCATGTACAAATTTGTGGCGTTAATTTTTACCGTCTACAAGACCCCCTTCAAAGTTTTCAGACCTAAACCGGCTTGCGTGTGGTCTGGAATACTTTGAATAAAGAAGTTCTTGGCTAACCAAGTGCATTTGGTTTCTTTCAGGATTTTTAGCAAACCCTCAGCTATCAACGGGTTTGATACGCCTTTACCGATTACCGTTTGAGTCAGGCTAGCCATACTATTCCCTTTAGTATGATGAGTTGTTGAGTAGTTTCTCTTAGGCTTAATGCTAAGATTTCTACTCTGACCCTTAGCCACCTGGGGCGCGGGTTTAAACGAGGTCACCTCGTTGGCGGTTCAAGTCGTTTTGTCTCCAAAGGCGAATGAGCCGTTTAGGCGAAGTTAGGTTTTGAAGGCGAAGTTTTGCTCGACTTGCGGATTCGATTCGAATTTTCGTAGATGAGACCTTTCCTTTGGGCGAAACTAGGTTCAGTGTGAGGGAACCACGTGTCCGCTGGTGGGGCTTCGTGCTTTCCAGCTAAGGCGGCGTGGTTCCGTCATGTCGCGCTCATTGTGATTCGACAATCTAACGTCAGCTTCGTGCGTCTCGTTTGAATCGTGGCCGTGGTTTTCGAACTCAACCGTCGGATACAACCGTTGATTTCGGTTCGGGTCCCGGGTTTTGACCGACCTGTTTCCCGTTTCGACGGTTCCTTAGAAATATCGGGGGCGATTTGGGCCGTTGATTTCGATCGTGGTCACGTCTCTTGTCCGTTAGTGTTTCGCCTTTTGAGGGCGATCGTGGTCACGTAAGCCACTCCGCCTTTAAATAGGCTATTTTCTTCCTTTGAGAGCTACCGTGCTCAGGAATCTCGAAAAATTTCTAAAGAGAGAGAGTTCCCGCTTTATCCCTCAATGGCGCCAAAATCTAAGAAGTGTGTCGCGAAGGGAAGAGGCCCTGGACGCTATTCCGACCGCCTCGCCGCTCCAGCATGCCGGAGCCGCACTTGGGTAAGTCAAGGGGTTCGTCTGATGACCTCACGTCGGTTATAGACGTTGGGTTGGGGGAATGAGCATCATTCGTCTCCCCTGGTAGAACCTGTCGCCTTTTGGCAATTTCCCTAGTAAAATCGCCCCTTCTAGGGAGGATTTTACATTTATTCGTAGAAGATGATTGCCGCCTTTACAGGCGAAATTGGCTTTGTTGGGTGAAGGCGAACTCGTTTTCTTGTCTAGTGAGTTCTACTTCTATCTGGTAAAGGCGAATGCAGTCTACATAGACATATCTCGTCATTGTTAGGCGGATTTGTCCCTATGTTCTTTGGTTCTTTCTTGCAGCGACCTTTTCTGACGAAGCTCTCCCGAAGGGCGTGGCCATCGGTCTCGCCGGAGGCACATGCTATACGGCGCCTCCTCGATTTCCTTCCTTGGATCCGGTGCCCGCGTTCGCCGCTAACAAGCCAGACGGCCTGATAAAGAGGGTTACGGACGGTCATCCCCTGACGTTACGCGAGTTGACGACCGACGAGGTGCTGATAGACGACGTCATGACGGAGCTAAAAAAACCTCAGTTTTTGTTCGGTGATGCTGTGACTGATCCTTCCACCCTGTTGATCTAGGAGAGCAGGTGGCTCCGCGTAGTGGAAGGGACTCACTATTATCTTCCCAGTATGCCGAGAGGGTTCTCGATCGTTGAGTTGCGGTCCCTCGCGGTCCCCAGAGCAATGAACTGGGATTTGACCCCAACTCAGGACGGGGTTACTTGTGGTGTCTTTACGGGCTCCATGGCTGGGTACGGGGTAGAGAGCTCTTGCAAATGCGTGACGGGTCTGCGCCCTGGCATACCATTCAATGAGCTGCCTGCAGGGGAGACGACAGCGGTCGCGGAGACTTTCCGTCATCGCTTCTTCCAAGCTGGTGGGAGATTTCCCCCAAAGGACTTCAGAGCCCCGGGGTGGGTCTACTCCGCGCCTGGCAGCGACACTTGATGGTCTAAGATCACCGACTACGTTCTGGCTGAGAATTCTGACCTCACGAATTCAGAGCTGTATGTGGCCATTTAGGCTACTCGACATGGTTTGAGGATTAACGCTTCTCAGTTCCACAGCATCCTAGAACTGTATTGTGTGAAAAGTGACACGTTCTTCACCCCTAATGGTGAACTTGGCATAACCCTCCACGAGATGTATGACGTGTCAAGGCTGCCTCTGGGAAGCTTCCCTTACGAAGAGTACGTCCCGGGTCAAGACGAGATTGACCAACTTTCAGACCGCTCTCCCCTGGTGGTTAAGACACTATGGGAGTTGCTTTGCCACTACCATATATGCCTCAGCACTTTAGGGGCGGTTGACCATAAAGGGAAGAAGAAGAGGGCTCCGGGGATTAGTCATAAGAATTGGGCTGATTATTTATTCCCGGAGAATGACGTCAAAGGGAGGCCTACTCTCCCACTGGGTGAGTGGGACCAGTCCGAAGTGGAGAGGAGGGTAGCCGAAGGGGGAGCCACCGTGACCCTTGAACATGATGTGGGCGGCTTCAAATCCGGCACGGTCTTCCATTCATTTCACCACCTGGGCAGGTCCCCTATATCTGGGAAGACTCTGCTCGCGGGGTACCTCATGTTGTGGTTGAAGAGGTGTGTGGTCCCTACCCATTCGTTTGAGGTGCTTCCGGTGGAGGTGGTGTATCCCGTGGTCCGCTTGGCCCATGGGAGGTCCTATGCATTGGTGTCGGCTATGGTAGCATGTATCCATCGGGGACTCCGCACACTGATGGCCTAATTCTACCGTGTATCGACTATCGACGAAGGGGAAGGGGAAGTCATCAGGACCCCCAACCCTAGGGTGGGGCTGCCGTACACTTACTTGATGGCATGGTTTGTTTACCACTGTGAGTGTTTGATGAGTGCTCCTGCGACCCTTCAAGGAGACAGGTTCATCCCGTTCGTCCAACGTCTGGAGAGGTGCTCTTGGAAGTGCAGGGGTATCCCCGACGCACGAAAGACGCTCTCCATTTTGGCTATTATAACTTTCGTCGGTTCTTCCCCTACTTCAGCGGAGGAGGATATGGAGAGTCCCTTAGGGACGTGCCGACGGTGGACCATCACACCGTTCTCTCTTGTGGCGCTTTTCGATGGTTGGTGAACATTCGACCGGGATATCACATACTGCGAACGGGCTCTGTGTGCTACCTCAAGCTATATATCCCCTGCTAGGGAGTGGTTTTCGGAGGATCCAGCCGAAGACACCGAGGGTTTTGATGTGGGTATAGATGAATCCGAGGTGCCCGAGACGCAAGCTCCTTCTCCTAGTCTTCCATCGGATCCTCGAAGGGAGTCGCCGTAAGCCTCTAGATGATTTATCTCTAACTCTTTTGCCAACTCAAGCCCGATGAGTAACGCATTGTACTTAGCCACGTTGTTGGTGCATGGCTCTGTCAAAGAAAAGGCTCGGGGCAACACGTGGCCATGTGGACAAGTGAGGACTACCCCTACTCCTGCAATAATAGAGCCGCTCGTGCCTACGCGAGATGCGCCGTCGAAGAACATCTGCCACACCTCTGGTAACGAAGTTACGTTGGCTTCGGGGGGTTCATCTGGCAAGTCCTCAAATAGGTCGGTCTTCGCTCCCAGCGGGTGACTAGCCATAAGATCGCAGATGGCCTGTCCTTTGACTGACTTTTGTGGCATAAAGTGGATGTCATACTGAGACAGCAAGAGTGCCCACCTGGCCAGATGCCAGTTTAACGTCGCGGGTTGTGTCATGAAAACCTGGATGGGGTTCATCCGGGAAATGACGTGGATTGTTTGGCCGACCAGGTAGTGCCGCATCTTTTGGATGGCGAACACTAAGGCCAAACATTCCTTTTCGACCATCGGGTACCGCTGCTCGGCGCCTTGCAAGGTTCTACTCAGATAATAAATGCCTTGCTCATGGCCTGCGTCGTCATTCTGTGCCAGGAGGGCGCCTAGAGAATGATCCATAGCCCGTATGTAGATGAGGAACGGCTTTCCTGATATCAGAGCCACAAGGACAGGCGGGTTCGAGAGATAAGCTTTGATGTCCTCAAATGCCTGTTAACAAGGCTCATCCCATATGAAGGAAGTACCTTTCTTCATTAGTTTGAAGAAGGGTTGACATTTGCCCGAAAGATTTGAGATGAACCTTCGGATGTAAGCCAATCGTCCCTGAAGGCCTCTTAGCTCCTTAAGATTTCGGGGCGGCTGAAGCTCTTGAATAGCTCGCACCTTGTCTGGGTCAATCCGGATTCCTTTCATTGTGATGACGAAACCGAGGAATTTACCACTAGACATCCCTAAGAATGACTTCGTAGGATTCATCTTGAGCTGGTGAGTCCTCATGAGTTCGAACATCGCCTTCAAGTCCTGGAGGTGGTCGTCTTTACGACGACTCTTCATGACCAGGTCGTCTACATAGCACTCGACCGTCTTTCGCAGATAATCCCAAAAGATCGTACTCATGGTGCGTTGATAGGTGGCGCCGATGTTTTTGAGTCCGAAGGGCATGACTGTATAGCAGTACACCCCCATGGGAGTCCTGAATGAAGTGTGTTTTTCGTCTTCAGGGTGCATTTTGATTTGATTGTACCTTGAAAAACCATCCATAAAGGACATCCTCTCGAACCCACACGTGTTATCAATGATGACATTCGTGATGGGCAAAGGGAACTCGTCCTTAGGGCATGCGGCATTGAGATCCCTGAAGTCAATGCAGATACGGATCTTACCGTTTTTCTTCAGGACCAGAATAATATTGGCCACCCAGTCGGGGTGCTGTTCCTCTCTGATGAAACCGGATTCGATGAGTTTCTTTACTTTCAGCCTCGATCGCCTCCATGATTTGTGGACGGAATCGCCTTTGCTGTTGCTTGACTGGTTTGGCGTCTGGGCTGATGTTGAGGCGATGCGTTACGACCCGCGGATCCAGGCCGAGCATGTCCTCGTAATTCCACGCGAAGACGTCAATGTATTCCCGTATGAGGGCAATGAGGTCCTCTTTTTCCTGGGGAGGAAGACTACCGCTGATGAATATGGGCTTGGGATTCGCCTCGTTCCCCATGTTCACCTGGAAGATTTTGTCTTCGGTCGGTGGTTCACGTTGCTCGAAGCGACTGTTCTACTGGGCGTTAACATGGCGATCTCATGTCTCGTCATAAAGCAGGACTTGTCCATCTTCCGCCATTTCGGTGGAATCTATCGCGGTCATGTTGACTGTAAGGTTATCGAATAGATCCCTTACGCTGACGTCTGAGTCCCATGCCGAGGTCGTCGACGATCGATCTCCCGAACACGCATAATCGGAATCCACATTGACATAACAGCACAAATCCGATGAGGAAGAGGAGTACCCTAAGCCCCTCCGAGTCCTGTTGAAATAATTTGAGGGTTTACCTTTGGGTACGTAAGCAGGTCGGATGACCGCCTTGCGCCCTCGGCCGTAATTAAGACCCTCTAAACGAGTGAGGTCATACCCCATGTTGCTCATCATGCGCTTTGCAACTTGACTGTATTGTGAAAACTAAGGCGCGAGATCTTCGTCTTCATATTCATCCCATAGTGTGTGTAGGGGGTGATCAATTCGACCGAAGATAATATCTTTTCGATAATTATTCCGGGCAGGCACGACGAGCACAGCTCGATCGGCCGTGTTTTTGTGACGTATGACGAGCATACCGGCAAGTGCAGGGAGGGATCGCTGTAGAGTTTTGACCATAGGTCACTGGGTTCATCATCCTCGGATGTAGAACAAGACGACAAATAAGCAAAGTTGAACTTCTCATTCATGATAATCTCCCCCGCCTAAACAGTGTTGGTTACATTGTGACTTTCGTAACCGATTACAATTGACTCGAAGTCATTTAGGATTAGGCTGTCGCCGTACTCAGGTTCGCTATCCGCCTCGTTGCCACTCTCTAGTTCTTCGATCGGTGGCTCGTCGGGGTCTTGGTACAGCATAGAATCTATGAAGTAGTTTTCGACGCCTTTGAAGGGTTGCTTGTCGGCCATTACTGTTTTCACTTGCTCGTAATCGTCCACATACTTCAGACATTGGTGCAGCGTGGATGGGACTATTCAGTTGCCATGGATCCACGGACGTCCTAAGAGTATGTTGTAGGAAGGCTCGGCGTCGATGACGTAGCAGGTCACCTCTGTCTTCATGTCGCCTATTCGACATTTCAGGCAGATTTTGCCGAGCGGTCGAGTCCCTGTGGCATTAAAGCCGAATATGGTCGTGGTAGTTATGGACAGACGCTTTGGTGGTATCCCTAGGTGTTTGATCAATTTCAGGGGGACAATGCTCAATGCGGAACCTGGGTCGACCTGAATTCGATCTATCTTCGACGAGGCGACGTACCCCGTGAAGTACAAGGGTCGGTCATGAGACGTGCTCTTGATGAGCATGTCCTCAGGAGTGAAAGTGATGCACGGGACCCATCTCTCGGAGGTTTGGCAACATGTCACGCATTCCTGCCTCTTGCATCCTCTTCCCCGCAGAAATAGGTGGCAGAACGGCTCTGAGTCGGGCCAACGCCTCTTGTAGCGGCTTCCCGGGCTAGGCCTGGATAGCCGTAGGAGCGTCATACATGGAATTCGCCGCGGCGGCATGCCTCTTCAGCTCGCGTGAGCACATTGAAACGGAAAGGTTGGCGGCTTGAGCTTTGGCTGGCCTCGTGGGAGGTCCCGCCGGGTTCTCCGCTCTCATAGGATATTCCTTCGTGAATTCCTTCCCTGCTCTCGTGGCAAAGACAGTGGTTTCCTCTTCGGAGTCGGTCAGGGCGGCCATTGCTGTGTTATCTCTACCTAGGATGGCGGAGACAACATTGCAATGTTTTCCCTTAGTTCCTTTCGAGGGTTTTGCAGTCCATTGCTCGTCGTTGAGGAGGTCTGGATGGACCCACATCACCTGACCCGATGGTAGAGTCTGTGGAGTTAAACCCTTCCCTCGTTGGTTGTGAGGGTCGTCATTAGTGATCTTCAAGACTGCCTTGGGGATGGGAATTACCCCTGTCGGAGCTTGGACCTCCGGGAGATCTGTCCTAAAGCTCAAGGTAATCATATTCGTGGTCACCTGCTTTTGAACTTTCTCCTTCTTTAGGACCCCCGCATCGTAGAGGGCTTGGAGCTTATCCTTGAGGACGTAGCACTTGGTCATGTGGTGGCCAAGGAATCTGTGATAGGCATAATAGCTTGGGTCATTGGTTTTATTCGCCTCCTCAGCTTTCACGGCCTCTGGCAATTTAATTCGACCGCTTTTGAGCAGAGTATCGAATGTCGCCACAACCTGGTCTTCTTTGAATTCGTATTGCCACGGGGGGCGTTGTTCAAACTGTCTAGGCTTCGGCTTTTGAGCATCCATTGGCACCGGGGTAGAGTCAACGACCATGATCTCTTTTCCTATCGTTCGAGGGGGATTCATCGGCACACTCGGTTCCGCAGCTCCCTTTTTAGGCTGCGGCTCTTCGGCCTCTAGCCTTTTGATCATATTTTCCACCTGCTCACCCTGACGAACAAGCTCCTTCCATGTCCGGGTTTCCACAACGCCTACTTTGGATAAAATATGGATCGAAAGGTTATTGCGGCACATCTCGATCAGCGTGGACTCAGAAACTTGGTCCCGATAGTGGACTGATCTGTTCCGAAATCTCTTCACGAAGTCGTTGACTGACTCCGACTTCCGTTGCTTTTCAGCGAGGAGGGTGGCCATCGACACTTCCGTGTCGTCATCGAAGAAGCGGGCTAGGAAGAGCTTTTTAACGTCGGCCTATGACTTGATAGAGTCGGGTTCTAACTTACGGAACCATTCAAAAGCCACCCCCTTGAGGGTGCCTATGAATAGCCGAGTGAGAATAGCATCGTTCCCCGTAAGGAATCCGGTCTGCGCCATGAAGTAGTAAATGTGTTGCGAGGGTGAGCCCTTGCCGTCGAATTGCACCAAGCTAATTAGCTTGAACTTCGCTGAGTATGGGACTGTGTCCCATTCGACGGGATAGGGTCGTACCACCCCCAACTTGTTCATGTTCTGCTGAAGCTTCAGTGCATTGAGCTGATTTTGGAACTCGTCAAACCTCTTGTCGCGGGTGCTACCCCCAGTATGCGACGTTCCCAACGATGTCTTGGAAGAGTAATCGGATTATGGATTACTGTTATCTTCCGTCTCAGTCGCTGGGCGATGAGGAGGTACCCACTCCTTATCACCTGTTCGCCGGGGTAAGGTGCGCTGGGTTCTTTTCTTCTTCTTCTTCTTGTCCAGGAGTTGTTCCATCATCTCTCTTAGGGAATCGATGGTGGCCTGTTGCTCCTCAAGCTTTTGGGCCACCGTCTGTTCGTGGGTGAGTTCAGTCATATGTACTCTTGCCAACGCGTCCTGACTCAAGCGTGAGGTTTGAGACATGGCTGCCGCCGAGTGATCCTCGTCTTCACCGTAGGAGGGAGGTGCTAAGGTGGAATAATCAAACCCGATGCTCACCCCCTTGCGACTACGGGTACGCTGGTATATGCCGTCTTGTCCGTGTTGAACAAGTCGAGGATTAAGCCCCAGGACGGAGTCCAAATCTGGAGAGTCGAAAAGTATCACCTTACCCCTATCCATCATGTTTATTGTGGCGGACGGGAGCTCTAGGTCATCGGTGGCGCATCCCCTTTGGCGACGACGCCTTTGATGAGTGGGTATCGGTCAAGAAGGTTGTCGAGAGAGCCTCTCGAACACTAAAGGTTTCGTCGTTTCTATACATTGACAGTCGGCAAGTACTGTCTGGATGAGCCTTTCGTAGTGGTACTAAGGACTCGCCTCATGTATGGTACGTTTGCACGTTAGATAATCCCGGAGGTCTTCTGTGGGTGACTAGCGACCACCCACAAGGTCAGATGGGTCTCCTGAGTGATTGCACAGGAGGGTCTTGGGTGCACCCCCTGTCGTGCGCTGGGTGGAACACCTAGATGTCAGAGTTCGACGAGTTTGCCTTGAAAGGCGAACCTCGCGTTCGGGCGAACTCCAACATGTGGACGAAATTCAACCCCCCGCTCGCGCAGGCGCACTCGAAGATATCAAGACATATCTGACAAATCCTCCTATTCTCGTTGCACCAAAATCAGGTAAACCGTTATTGATTTACATCAAGGTGATGAACCATTCGATAAGTGCTTTGTTAGCACAAGACGATGATAACGGTCACGAACATGCAGTTTATTATTTAAGTCGGACTTTGGTGGGCGCTGAGTCTCGATATCCGATGATTGCTAGTGGTTCGGTTAGCTGATTCAACTCTGAGCGAGTTACTGAATGGCTAAAACAGCTGAACTTTTTCTTCATCCTAGAAGAAAAGCTAGACCTTTTCTATTTGGTTGGAAGAAGTTCTGAACCTCTTCTCCGTGGCTGGAAGAGGTTCTTAAATAATGGAGAGACGACATGGTCACTCCTTGAATTATGGGATGTGACCATGTACTGTTGAGGGGTATCTTGCTACTCACCCGTACTATGAGCGGTCATTCGAGGGGTTGTGCTTCACGTCATGGTGTTTGCAGTGCAAAAGATGCGGCATTACTTAGTGGGACAGACAATTTATGTTATCTCCAATGTTAATATCGTGCGAGTATTTATGACGCAACCGGGTTCGATGAATTGGCGATTGGCAAAATGTGCCATCCTCTTGTCCCAGTATGATTTGCACTTCAAACAGCAAAAGTCGGTCAAAGGATAAGCGATTTGTGATCTTTTGGCGGCAAACCCGACCGCAGATGCGGCAGAAGTATATGATGACTTGCCGGACTACTCGAGTGGATTTGGCCAGCCTACTGTACGCCGGCGAATCCAGCTCTTGACTTGGACTGGTGAGATGAGTTGCATTTATGAGCACGTAGGTTGATCTGGCGTCTGTCAGATCACTCGTATTGTGAGCAGTCGCTTGATGGGACCTGAGTACTGTGCTCTTTCCTCTCAGGTCATGAGAGGTGAGAAAACGAGTGCCCAGTACTCGAGTGGGCTTGGACAGCTTGCCGAATGCCGGTGGATCCAGCTCTTGACTCTGACGAGCGAGGTGAACTGCATTTATGAGGGTTCAGGTTGATTCGGCACCTGTTCGATCACTCGTACTGTGGACGGCCACTCGACGGTCCTGGAACACTGTGCCTTATCCTTTCGGGTCATGGCCGAAGTAGGAAAGTCCGTTTAGTATGATATTTGGCTTGTCGACTCGTGCTAGCGAATTCTTGCCTCAGAGGCCGAGCCTACCACACCGGCGAATCTTGCTTATGCATGGCGCGAGTCCCCCCGCCTACGCATACTGGTATGCGAATCCTACCTTCGGCTTCAAGCTAGACGGCCGTGCCGGTCGCGGCGCGTTGCTCGTGTCTGCGGCCCGTGCTAGCAACTCCAACTCCGTCGGCTGCGTGTTAGCCCTTCACCCGTGGGGCTCGGGTGTCCGATTCCGTGCGGGGACTCTCTCGTACAACATTCACCTCCGCCGGCGCGGTAATTTTGTAACCGTCTACAAAGACCCCCCTTCAAAGTTTTCAGACCTAAACCGGCTTGCGTGTGGTCTGGAATACTTTGAATAAAGAAGTTCTTGGCTAACCAAGTGCATTTGGTTTCTTTCAGGATTTTTAGCAAACCCTCAGCTATCAACGGGTTTGATACGCCTTTACCAAGTGCATTTGGTTTCTTTCAGGATTTTTAGCAAACCCTCAGCTATCAACGGGTTTGATACGCCTTTACCAATTACCGTTTGAGTCGGGCTAGCCATACTATTCCCCTCAGTATGATGAGTTGTTGAGTAGTTTCTCTTAGGCTTAATGCTAAGATTTCTACTCTAACCCTTAGCCGCCTAGGGCGCGGGTTTAAACGAGGTCACCTCGTTGGCGGTTCAAGTCATTTTGTCTCCAAAGGCGAATGAGCCGTTCAGGCAAAGTTAGGTTTTGAAGGCGGAATTTTGCTCGACTTGCGGATTCGATTCGAGTTTTCGCAGATGAGACCTTTCCTTTGGGCGAAACTAGGTTCAGTGTAAGTGAAC